AAATTTTGTTTTTAAATTGGTAAAACTTTTACCGAAACGTTTCAATTGATGGAACAAGTTTATGGCGATGATTGCCTATCCCGTAGCAGAGTGCACGAGTGGTTTCAACATTTTCAAAGTGGTCGTGAGGACATAAATGACAATCAACATGTGGGCCATTCAAATTTCGTGATCACCGAAAATTACATCGAAACTGTGCGTGAATTCATCAAAAATCAGCTGAAATCATCATTGAAATTGATGGAAATGGAATTGAACATCTCCAAAATACGATTCAATTTATCGCATTTTGACCGAACATTTGGGCTTATGAAAGGTGTGTGCACGGTTTGTCCCGCACAAATTGACTGACGAACAAAAATTGCTCAGAATCCAACATTCGAAGGACATCATTAAAGAGGTCAAAAAGGACAAAAACTTCCTTTACAATATTGTGACTGGTGACGAAATGTGGTGTTCTAATATGATCCCGAAACGAAACGCCAGAGTGCTGAATGGAAGGCACCGGACGAGCCGAAACCCAAAAAATCGCGCATGGAGAAGTCTAGAGTGAAGACAATGCTGATTCGTTTTTATGATTCCAAGGGTATTGTCCACAAAGAATTTTTTCCATCCGGCAAAACGTTAATGCGGTATTCTACCATGAAGTTTTGAAGCGTTTGGTGCGCCGTATTCTACGTGTTCGGCCCGAATATCGCGAAGATGAAAGTTGGCTTTTGTTGCACGATAATGCGCCGTCTCATCGATCGACGCTTGTGACCGATTATTTGACCAAAAATCAAATTTTAACCATTAACAACTCGCCGTATTCACCTGATATGGCACCGTGCGACTTCTACCTTTTCGGAAAAATGCATTTGCCCATGAAAGGAAAGCGTTATGCAGACGTAGAGGCCATTCAAAAGGCTTGCACCGGCATACTGGCGGCCATACCGGCCAACGAGCTAAAACACTCGTTCGACATGCTTTTGGATCGTACAAAAAACTGTATTGACGCAGAAGGAGACTATTTTGAATCAAATAAATAGATTTTGCCGAAAATACCATTTGTTCTGTTTTCGTGTTTGGCGATCTGAGACAGCTACGTCCAGTAGGTAATAGATGGATATTTCAATCCACATCAGAATTTCATAATCCATATAGTGTCATAGTCTGCTCTATGGGGGTGCTTCAAGTTCTTTGAGCTTATTGAGATTATGAGACAGCAAGAAGACCAGTCCTTTGTAATATGGCAAATGGCAAAATGACTCCTGCTGATATTAGGTTGCAGGATTGTTGATAGTCGTTAAGTTCCGGATGATGTTATTCATCTGTTTACTAGTAATGCTGAATTCGATAGGTATAATACAGAAAAATTAAACTCAATTCAAACTGAGCAATTTATATCTCATGCTCGGGATTCCATTAAGGCTAAATATCTCAACATGGAAACTAGGAATAAGTATCTTAAGTTAGTAACAAATTTCAAGAGTTCTCAGTTACAAGGTTTATGTACGAGTATGTAGCTCCTTAATTTTGAAAACTGCGAAATATATGGTAACTGTCAATGTTGACACAGCAGATGGATTAGTAAATGGAACAACAGGTATTTTAATGGAGATAGGCTTCAATTCAGTCAATAATCCAAATCTTTTATGGATTAAATTCTTTGAAGATAGTGTAGGAGTAAATGCTCGATCAAAATGTACTCACCATGATGAACCTCTGAAAACTACAAAGAGTTTTGAATATAAATCAAACGAGCAAGTTACCATTGACCGTGAGCAATTTCCTGTTAAGCCTACAGAAGGTATAACCATTCATAAGAGCCAGGGAGCTACATATAGCAAAGTGGTGGTTCACACTTGCCTCAACATGAAATGCGATTCATTATATGTAGCTTGTAGTAGAGCAACGAGTGCACCTGGCCTTTATATAGTTGAGGATTTTGTTGCTCCCCACCCAGACCCCAAATCGAAGGTTGACAAAGAGCTAGACAATTTGCGCTCTGTCAAGTTTCTTCACATACACTTTGATTATTTAATCAAAAGTTCAGACTTAAATGTCTTTTTTCACAATACTCAAAGTATAAACTGTCATATTGAAGACATTCGTTCTGTGAATCTTATGCTTCGGTCTTCAATTTTATGTTTTGTTAAGACTTCAACGTACTCCAATGAAGTATATGATATACCAGGTTTTACTATAGGAGTACGTTTAGATGTCGAACAGCAATCGAATAGAGCGCGGTAGAAGAAGCATCCTTATAATGAAATATTCGATGATGCTAAACTTTTCTCTAGTGGCAGACATGTGTCCGGCTCGGCTCTTTTGGAGTATGCCGTGTTTAAATATAAGTCTATCGGATTCTTAGTAGTATATAAATCTCCGTCTTACCCATTGCGCACATTTTCAAGAGAATTTGAGAGCTTATTTCAAAAGCACGCATTTTTGAATGGCAAGTCTGTAGTTTTAGGAGATTGTAATATGTGCCTTTCTAGATCTCATGATTACAGGACATATTAATTCTTGTTAATGAAGCAATTCCGTTCATTACTAGACTTGAATTCACCTACCACTACTTATAACGCATGTTTAATACGGTATATAGTTACCATGACGCAGTTTCGGTCAGTATTCGAGATGTTACTTAAAATGAAATGTATTAAAAATTAAATAAAATAAAATAAATTATATTATTATTGATCTCATTGATATTTTTTCTATAGCCTGTACCCAAAGGGTGAAAGGCTATAATAGTTTTGTGCGAATGTATGCAACACAAAGTATATATATTATTGATCAGGGAGACAAGCCGAGTCTATGTAGCCATGTCCGTCTGTCCGTCTGTATGAGCGCAAGGATCTTAGAAGGTACAAGGGCTAGAATGACCAAACTTGGTATCCAGGTTCCCCTGAGCCCTAGGCAGGTCAAGTTTGTCTTTGTTTATTCACATATACATATATATATATTTTTGGTTTTTCCTTTTTGGTGGGAGGTACAGGAGTTTTAAGAGTTGAGCTCGCTCGACTTTAGCATTCCTTTCATGATTTAATATAATTTCTTTTACATATTTTTTTAAATTTTCCTTTTCTGTGGAGATTATAGGATATTTTACTGTAGGGTTTGCTCAACTGTAGCGTTAAACTCGTCAAAGAAACTTCTAGACCTTGTATTCGTAAATGTTGTGTCAAATACGGTTTTAAACAGAAAACTGCCGTTATCCCTTCCCGAAGATGTTCACCATCCAACATTAGAGTTGGTTGTTAATATTGAAATGTACTATACTCCGCCGTCCCCCTTTAAAAAAGCTAATTTTAAGAAATTGAATTGTATTGCCTTTTATAATGATGTTCAGTTTCATAATAATTTACAGTTTGATCTCAATGCCCTCCAATTGTGGTGTTCCTGGAATCTGTTGTACCTAAATTTTGTTAAATGTAAACTAATGACGTTCCACCCATGCAAGCCTTACTTCGTTTCATATTATTTCAATAACATTGCTTTAGAACGGATTTACACTGTTAGCGGCTTAGGTGTACTATTTGATGCTTAACTTTACGGTTCCTCAAAGACCTATACGATTTTTTGCTCCCTTAAGCCTTAATCGCTGTGCTACGCTTTGCACAGTTCGTTTCGGGTTCTATGTAGCAACTATAATCAATTGAGCCATCTCTTTGGCCATGAGAGCTCTGTCAGTTCGATGAAATCAGACATACTTAATTTCTTAAGGTCTGAATAATATTTTTTGATGCTCTTTAATATCTTTACTTTAAAAAAAAAAAAATTATTGTAATTATATTTAATTTTAATTTTTTTGTTGCTGTTTCTATTGTTTTTATTTTTAATATCTGAATGCATATCCTGTATATTTATAGCCTGTACCCAAAGGGTGAAAGGCTATACTAGTTTTGTGCGCATGTATGTAACACACAGAAGGAGGCGTGGCAGACCCCACAAAGTATATATATTCTTGATCAGGATGAGATAGGTCAATTCTGAAGAAAGTTATAGCCATAAGTAAAATCGCTGCTCATGCGCTGCCTGCAGCTCTGTCGGCAGCGCTGCCCGCAGCTGTTGTTGTTGTTGCTGCTTTGGTTCAACTTTGTGCTGCATACATACACCCATATAAACACGCATAGGTACGTGATGTAAATGTATGCTGTTAAAACTGAACATAAACATGTATTCTAATTTAATTTAATTAATTCATTCATTCATTCATTCATTTTTTTTAATAATTTAATTTTTTTAAAATTTTTTTTTTAATTTTTCTTTTTTGTGGAGAGTACAGGCTATTTTACTGTCGGGCTTGCTCGACTGTAGCGTTCTTTCTTGTTTACTTGTTTATGTTTAGGATATTGACAGATATTCGTCAGAAATAAAAATAAATAACTAAAGTTGGTATCCAGATTTGTCCATTACTGTCTACATTCTCAAACTTACAAAAACAAAACTTTGCTAAAGCAATCTCTAAAAATTTTCTACTCTTGTTTTATATTTTCATCCCCATCGGCCAATTCTAAGAAAAAAGCGAAACAGTTTCACTCCAGTACTACGCCCACAAGCTTCATTGTCAAAGTTCGCTTTTCTTCTTCCTTTTTCTTCTGTTAAGTCAGTGTCTGAAGTTTGTCTGTGTACAGGATAATTCCCAGTCGGGCTTGCTCGATTGTAGCGTTCTTTCTTGTTTTGAAATTAATTTTTAAAATATATTTTTATAATGTTTTTTTTTGTGAGATTTTTTGTGGGTACAGGGTATTTAAGAGATGAGCGTGCGCGACTCTAGAATTCCTTTCTTGTTTTCTCTTAAAAAATTGTGAATTTGTAAGGCGAGTCTGTTAAATATAGTATATATTATTTTATAATATTGCCGATTCTCTGTATTTTTATTTCTTGTGCCCATCAGGCATATTTACCCATCGGTAAATATGGTATATTAGGTTTGTGTGAATAAAACGGGTCGGAGTCTATGCCCCTGTTTAAAAAAAATAAAGATATACGAGTAAAAGCCTAATACATACCTCCCACGGCTTGGCATTTTAATGAAACCACATCACCTTCACCATATGGACCCACAACCGTTGACCTCTCGACGTTATCGTTATCTCTTATAATGACTTGCTTAGGAGGAGCTATAAAAAAAAATAAATATTATTAAGTGTTTGATGAATGTATTCTTAATTACAAACAATATGAGAAATGTTTATTTATTTTATAGTCGTTCTACTCATACACATTATATGAATCGTTCACATTAAGAAATTGGTGAATTCTATGCCATGGAGAGTGGTAAATGGTAAAGGAGCACAATGGAAACAGTATATCATAATAAAATGTACATAATATTTAAGTTTTAAGTCGATTTTTACGATAACGTAAAATAGCCTGTACTCTCCACAAAAAGAAAAATTAATTAGTTGAACCACAGCAGCAGCAACAACAACAGCTGCGGGCAGCGCTGCAAGCAGAGCATGGGCAGCGATTTTATTTATGGCTATAATTCTCTTCAGAATTGACCTATATTGTACTTGCTGAGATCGTTGCGCTCATACAGACGGACGGACGGACGCACGGACGGACAGACGGACATGGCTATATCGATTCGGCTTGTCACCCTGATCAATAATATATACACTTTGTGGGGTCTGTCACGCCTCCTTCTGTGTTACATACATTCGCACAAAACTAGTATAGCCTTTTACCCTTTGGGTACAGGCTATAAAAAGATACAAGTCCAACAATGTTTATTTTTGGCTTAAACGTAATTTTATTCATTGCACATTTTATTCTTTTACAGGGGTATATAATAAATATAAATAATTACACTTAGAATTAACAATTTTTGCATCGATTTTTCACCACAGTGTGTTGTAGTAAATATAAATTGTGGCTACTTCAGTTTCGAGATTAATATTAAATTACATTTAAAGTGTGGCGATATTGGGTTTGATTCACGCCGAAGGTTTCTTTTTATACCCTGTACCCAAAGGGTAAAAGGGTATCCTAGTTTAGTGCGTGTGTATGTAACACACAGAAGGAGGCGTGGCAGACCCCACAAAGTATATATATTATTGGTCAGTATGACAGCTGTTGTTGTTGTTGCTGCTTTGACTTATTCCTGTACGTATTTAAACACGCATAAACACGATGATGTAAATGTATCTGTTGAACCTGTACATTAACATGTCTTACTTTTGTAGGTATGTATATATGTACATATTATTGAATATTTTAATTTAACTTAATTAATGAATTTATTTTAGCTTGTACCCAAAGGGTGAAAGGCTACACTAGTTTTGTGCGCATGTATGTAACACACAGAAGGAGGCGTGGCAGACCCCACAAAGTATATATATTATTGATCAGGATGACAAGACAAGTCGATATAGCTATGTCCGTCTGTCCGTCCGTCCGTCCGTCTGTCTGTATGAGCGCAACGATCTCAGCAAGTACAATAGCTAGGATAACCAAACTTGGCATTCAGGTTCCCCTAAGCCCCAGGCAGATCGAGTTTGTGTTTTTTTTCTGATATACCCCCCCCCCCCCCCACTCCCCCGGAATTCGTGTTTTTCCTAACTCCGGTAGTTCTTGGAATTTTGAAATTTGGCACATACATCCAGTTCGTGGTTATTTGTCTGTATGCCAAGTGTCATCATGATAGGTCAATTCTGAAGAAAGTTATAGCCATAAATAAAATCGCTGCCCATGCTCTGCTTGCAGCGCTGCCCGCAGCTGTTGTTGTTGTTACTGCTTGGGTTCAATTTTGTGCTGCATACATACACGCATATAAACACGCACAGACACGATTCTGATGTAAATGTATGCTGATAAAACTGTACATGAACATGTCTTTAATTTAATAAAGTAATTTAATTACTAATTTAATACTTTTTTTTTATGATTAAAAAATTTTTTTTTCATTTTTTCCTTTTTGGTGCGTGGTACATTTAAGAGTTGAGCTCGACGTTTTGCTCGCATAAAATAGAAATTTCTATGTTGGTGGCAGTATTGCTTGAAAAAATATTTGTGAAGCATAGACATTTGAAAATGAACAAGCAATTATTGCAATTAACGCACCAGTCGACATTTGGATAGCGCCACCAGGGGACGCTAGATTCAAAAAGTCTTGTTTACTTTGGAACACACCTTGTAAGTCCAAATGCCAAGTTTCATCTGGGGCAATTTAACAGGACGTTATAGCCATATATGTACATAAGACCAAGTAGTGCCCGCAGCTGTTGTTGTTGTTACTGCTTTGCTCAGGCACAAGAGACATCCACAGACACACACAAACACACACATACACGCATAATTATTCTACAAATATGTACAGAGTATTTCAAAGTCGGGATACCCGACTTTAGCTTCTCTACTTGTTTTTTAATAGCAGAGTGTATTTTTATTTAAAACTGTTCATCGTGACAATCATTAAATTGGTTAAATAAACTTGACAATTTATTATTTCATGTTCCTGTCCAAGCACTCCCGCCCATCCTATAGCCGATGCAGTATGTGGCTACCCACTATGGAGCAGCGGCCTCTTTATTTTGGACCGGTCGGTTCATCCCCCAATCCCCCCCCCCACCCTCTCGCCTTATTATGTTTAGCAAAAACGCAGCTTTATTTTAATACAACAACAAATAACAAAACGCTAAATCGGTGTTGGTGTTCATATATGCCCCATTGCGCAAACCTAATATACTCTTTATGCCCCAAAAAAGGCGATTTCGACCATAGTGGAGTGGAACCCACGGTTCAACAAGTCTTAATTACTATATTCTTGTCTTTTCGATTATCCAGATAACCACTTACTGGCGACATCGCAAAAATGTATCGACAGTTCCTGATATCGTTCATCGTTACCAATGGATACTATGTAACGTATCAACTTAATACCATTACATATGGAATGTCAGCAGCTCCATTTCTTGCGTTAAGAAGCATCCATCACATCTGAGTTTGAGTACCCTGTAGGTACACTAAGCAATGACTTATACGTGGGCGATTTTCTGACATGTGCAGGCGAGCTATCTCTATTACAAGAGAAAAAGGATGAAACGGTAAAGATCCTTTCTAAAGCAGGATTACAACTTACAAAATTCGTACGAACGTCTGAGCGTCGCTCTTGAGGATCAAGATGTTACGAAAACAGTTCGAGTGGCATAGCAACCTCGTCGTGATGTATTCGTATTTCGTTACGAATACCAGGGAAATGAACCAATTACCAAACGCAAAGTGGATGGACTTTCTAGAAGATCTGAAGGATCTAGCCAAGTTGGAAATTCCACGATATGTTTTCACATCTCCGACCCATCGCTGCAAAATACATGGATTCGCAGATGCTTCCGAAAGAGCATACGGTTGCTGCATATACGTTCGCGCACATCTTGGCATTGAAGTCGACCTTCTAGTGGGAAAATCGAAGGTGGCGCCAATGAAAGTCCAATTGTTACCGAAACTTTAACTTTGTGGCGCCCTTCTACTAGGCCGAGTTTGGCGGAAATTCGAAAGAAAACTGGACATTTATGTTGAACAGGTCTATTTTTGGAGGGCTCCCAAAACCGCCAATCGAAGTCCATACGAAAGCAACACTTGTTTTTATACATGCTGACAGCGCACACCAAATATCTATTCTACAATCAATAATCGAGAACTGTTCATCGTATCTCCAAATTATTCACATATTTCGTATGAAATTATAGCATCTCTTCAACTTATGCTACAACGAATGTCGCCATTTTTGCAAGAACTGAAACTTGACAACAGTATTGTGCGTTTGATGAGAGTTAGTGGTCGCCTTTCAAACGCAGAACTATCATATGAGGAGAAACATCAAGCTCTACTACCACAGCACCATCGCTTTACAAAACTATATGTGGAACATTTACATCGCAGCAACTTTCACGCCGGACCCAGAATATTGCTTTCCATGCTGCGTGAGAGAATTTGGGTCATCAATACGAAAGGTCGTTCGTGGATGTATCAACTGTTTCCACTATAAGCCCCGTCTAATGAAGCAACTGATGGGTAATATACCGCCAGATCAGTTTTTACTCACCGGAGTTGATTTCTGCGGCCCCTTTTTACATCCAACAAGCTTGGAGGCAAACCTCCGTATAAAACATATGCGGCAATATTTGTCTGCTTCGCATCGAAGGCCATTCATATTGAATTGGTTTCTGAGCTACCTGCAAACACATTTCTGCTATGCATATGGCGATTCATTGCAACCCAACTAATTTTGTTGGAGAAGAGTTAAAGAATCAAATGTTAAACGAATCAGCCATTGAGATAATCAACTTATACAGCTCATCTAAAGGCTTCGAATCTAGTTTTATTCCCTCTAGATCACCACATTTTGGAGGCCTATGGGAAGCTACGGTGAAGGCGGCGAAAACGATGGTTCACAAGAACATTGCCAACACCCACCTAACATACGAGGAGCTGCAAACAATGTTTCTAGACGTGGAGGCCAGCGCCAGAAGCAGCACTCTACCGAGATTCAGATTCACCCGGCAAGTAGATGCGCTTTTTGGATAGATGGCAGCATGTGACATATCTCAAACAACAGTTTTGGTCACTTTGGCAGAGAAATTACGTGCACACACTCATCTCGTGGACCGAAAAGAAGCCGAACCTGTCGGTTAGGTAACTCATCATCATTCAAGAAGATAATAGCGCAACAATGGTTGTTGGCCCGAGTGATAGCAACAATTCCTGGAAAGGACGGAAAGGTCCAAGTTGCAGACGTGAAGACCGCTAAAGGCATCCTCAGGCGCCCAATCTACAAACGGAAAGGTCCGAGTTGCAGACGTGAAGACCGCTAAAGGCATCCTCAGGCGCCCAATCTACAAGCTGGCGCCCCTCCGATTGAGCTAGTTTATTTGTTATTGAAAGTAGGCTCTTTCAACGTGAGGAGGATGTTGAAGGAGAATAGTTTATAATTAATTATAATATTTGAAGAGTTGGATTTGAACATAACGATTTGTGTTTAATTAAGGTTGTAGTCCGGCAACGCACATTTTCGTTATACCATTGCAATCTTATTTTATTTAAGATTGGTACTATGGTATAGTAAAAATCAAAAGAGATATAGACACATAAACACTAACGGAATGTAGTTACCAAATTA